AAAGCGGACATATGTACATATGTATGTTTAATGCTTGGTTAACGGAATGGGGCAGCATCTCAACCAACGCTAGAGGCAGAGTACTAATGGAGGCCCTTGCGACAATGGATATCGCACTACTCAATTCGGGATCGATAAACACGTTCAGCAGGCCGGTGCCGACTCAATAATTGACCTAACATCTAACGTAGAGGAGGCGTGCCGGGCTAGTATGACCCTCCGGAACATATATCGACGCCATCACAACCCCGTGTACTGGTGGAACGGGCAAATCGCCGAAGCTCGTACCGCCTGCTTACGTGCCAGGCGACTCTACCAGCGCTCGCAACGCTCAGCCTCCTTTAATGAACTCCAAGAGGACTATCGCCAAAAAAAGAGAGCCCTAAAGCAACTTATTAAAGACAGAAAGCATAGTTGCTTTCTTGAGCTCTGCGACACAGCCGAGCATGACCCTTGGGGTAGAGCATACCAACGCGTAGACAAACGGTTCGGCCGCAGTGCGTCAGCAGTACCGTCGAATGCGCCGACCGAACACGTATAGTAGAAGTTCTGTGCGACCGAGTATGGATTTGGTAGCCCACCCTTCCCAGTAGAAATGGTAACATCCGACGAAGTGCTAGCGATCGCACGCAGCCTTAAACCGTCCAAAGCGCAAGGTCCGGACTCGATACCGAACAGAGCAGTAAGACTAGCCATGGCACTCCACCCATGGATCTGTACAACTAGTGTCTCAGGGAAGGAGTGTATCCGGATAAGTGGAAACGGCAACAGCTTATCCCATTGCCAGAACCTGGTAAACCTCCAGAAGATGCATCATCATACAGGCATATTGGACTCGTTAGGGAAGGTGTTGGAGAAAATTATAAGCTGCAGGCTGAGCGTGGCCCTGGAGAATGCAGGCGGTCTATCACCTAACCAATTTGGGTTTCGCAAGGCGAAGTCAACAATAGACGCCATCAACAAGGTGGTAAACATCGCTTCTGAAGCCATCGCGGGATAACGCTGGAGGGGTGGCTCAAAGGAATATTGCCTAGTGACAACGTTGGACATCCGCAACTGGAACCGCATTCTAATGGCGCTAAGAAGCTTCTCCGTCCCGGATTACCTCCTCGCAATCGTGCACAACTACTTTGTTGGGAGAACTCTCGAGTTCAGCACGGACGATGGCATGCGCACACACCACGTCTCAATAGGTGTGCCCCAGGGTTCCGTCCTGGGACCACTCCTGTGGAACACGATGTATGACGGTGTCCTACGACTTCGGCTGCCAAACGAGTGCACATAGTTGGTTTTGGCGACGATGTCGCCTTAGTAGCAGTAGCAAAGGAGTTGCACGAGGTAGAAGCATCCAGCTGTGCAGCTATAGAGCAGGTCGCTGCCTGGTTTTCCTCGGCCGGCCTGGAGCTAGCACCCCAAAAGACCGAGGCAGTCCTAATTAACAGCTGGAAGAGAGTGGAGGCTGCGCGGATAATGGTTGGTGGAACGGCAGTATGTTGTCCAAAAGAGCCATCAAGTACCTTGGCGTGATGTTGGACACCAGACTCTGCTTTCGGGAGCATCGTGCGTACGCAAACCGGAGGGCAGCTGAGTCTGGAAGAGCGCTCGCACTGATAATGCTGAATACCAGAGGACCGAAGCAAAACCGCAGACTGCTTCTGACAAAAGTTATGAGCTCGGTCTTACTCTACGCTGTTCCAGTGTGGGCTCATGCTATGGAGACGGGGTCCTACAAACGCGGACTCGACGCAACATACCGCCTTAGCGCAATAAGAGTCTGCAGCGGGTTCCGAACCATATCGGACGATGCAGCACTCGTGCTAGCAGGCATGCTACCTCTCCAGGAGTTAGCACTCAAAGCGAAGGCTAGGTTTGAAGGTGCCCGCGTCCCGGTGTCAAGCACCTCACCAGCAGCTACGTTGCGGCAAGATGCAAGGCGACGCAGTTTAGAGCGTTGGCAACTACGATGGGACACCTCGACACCCGCCTAATCCCTAACATTAGCACATGGAGGAATCGTAAACACGGTGAGCTCAACTTTCACCACACTACTGAGCGGGCACGGCTGCTTTCATAGCTACCTGCATCGATTCGGCCACGACTCTGCGGCGGAGTGCTCCTCCTCCTGGTAACGGCGCAATAGAGGACGCTGAACACATTTTGCTCAGCTGCCCCAGGTTCGGGCGCATTCGGGTGGAGCCAGAAAACTTAATGAGATCCACCATTTCGGTGGATAATATTGTTGGCTTGATGCTAAAAAGTTAGCAAGGATGGGACGCCATAAGCTGTTCTGCGGCTAACACGATGTGCGAGCTAAGGCGTTTGGAGAGAGCCAGAGCAGCAGCAGGGAGATAAAAGAGGCCACGTCTCGTGCGACGCAATGCTTAGCGGCCGTCCAGCGCGAGAAATGTGACCTCTTCCTTCATGCTCCTTATACTTAGTATTTATATGTATATAATGTTAATGTTGTATAGTAACTAATAAAATAGAATAAAAAAAAAACATATGTATGTTTGTTCTAATTGATCTCAATAAATTATAAGATGTTATTATTTTAATTTTCTGTTAATTGCATTCAAACTTCGATGGAATTATTGATTGTATCGACGGATTCAACTATCGAAAGTTTTGATGCTCTAGCACATAGAGTATCCGACACATGCGCATCTCTAGTATCTCAGCTGATCGCATATTTACAGCGACTTGCCGTTTTAGTGTTAGCTAATAACGCTACAAATGTATTCTGAACAAATCTAAGAGTCTGTTATGTCCGCCTTTGTCTTTGCATCCTCTGTCGCAACGCCGGCTAGCTTGCGGCCCAGGGTCGGATTCGACCGACACATGGATATGGCAGGGCCAACAATATATTTATATTTTCTCGAAACACACATACCTATGTACGTAATCGCCGGTGGATGGCCGCCTGGGAGCTTTAGGCGGTGTGGTGGCTGGTCTGGTTTTTTACAGCCGCGTGGCCCTCCCTACCATGAGCCGGTATCGACATTCTATTGCCGGCTCCCTTTAATGAGCTTGCTTTGTTTCTGGTTTAGTGGCTTTTGTCACCCCACCTCACCCCATAAATGGTCTTAGCTCCATATTAATTTTAAATCTTCACATATGACATATACCGTACATTTCAGTTCGACGACTTTTTTGGAACGCTGCATTTCGTGGACACTTTCTGGTCCCCTTTTATCTATATTTTATTTTCGCTGACCACGGTTTCCCTAGCCTACCTATACTCGAGTATAAGAGTGAATGGGATTATAGCGTTACTTTTCAATTATAATTTGGGCAAACAAAAAAAACTGCACCGCTCCAAGACATGATACAAACTTAGTAGCAGTCATCGCCACCATTGGCACCTACGTAACCCTGATCATCTCGATCAATTTGTGGCTCCGACGTCAGCCACTGAGCAATACCAATCCGGATTCCAATCTGGCCTACACCGTAACCATCAAATCGGCATCACGTTCCAGACCGAGACGACAACCAATCCGCATCAGCTATCGGCATTAATATAATTAAGCAAAGATTTAACACAATGACACCTTTACATACATACCAGCTTACTTTCCCTAAACACTCACCATAAGAAAGGTCAGCAGCACTTCGCGTTTGTGAAATTTGATCTTGATTTCGCCTCAAAGGCCTGCATTGAACGAAATATTCAAGGCAGTCTCACAGAATACAAATGCTGACGTGCATTTTTGTTTCAGAAAATTGTGGAAGGCTAGTTATTAGAATCAAATGCAATTGACAAACAATGTCTATATATGCCTCAAGCATAGCCAACAGAGATTACGCAACACATAGAAATAGTAAATATAAATAGTCATATGCTAGTTTTAAGCATGGCTATATAAGCCATGATTTGTAAGAATAAAATCAGTATGCAAATTACCAACGAACAGCCTGTTACTTTGGGTCAGGAACCGCTGATCTTTATCACGCCGACTACCACGTTGACTACATGCTCCCAAGGATTGCCATCTGGTATCCTTGGTCACTACAAACGTCCTGTGTCGTTTCACTCGCGCAACCAGGACAACCGCTGTTACTCGCACCTATTGGACCACGAGGGTCCCTTGAAGCAGCAGGGCCACAAGTGCCTTTAATTAAACGGACCACGAGTGTCCACCCAAACATCAGGCCGGACCACTAGGATCCCGCCTTGATCAACAGAAGGACAATACGCGTTGTTGACGTGGCAGCACTGCTAGTAGCCTGCATGGCAGGCTGGCAACGTTTGCTAGCAACATTCGCTAGCAACATCTGCTAGCACAGCGCGGCTGACGTCAGCGCCCTCTCTCTCCCACACGCTAGTTAAGGACCAGAGCGCTGTAACTAGGTTAAGTTAGTTACAAATTGTCTTTATATGAAGTGAATACATACGTGCAGAAGAGCACTTTGAAACCTGAAAATCCCGCCATTTTGTTCTTGTACTGGAGTTTGGACATTTTATCCCCGACGCCCCCCGACTTTTACATGGTCCTTCGAGCCGGATACTTTTGAGGCACCTCCATCCATACTCATCCTCGTTTTGTGCCAGCCATCCGTTCGCCCCAGCTTGTTCCTGGCGTTGGACTCCTATAAGGGAAAACAGCTAAGTAAAAAGTTACTTTTGGCTCAGTACTTACGCCATATTGGTTTTTTCTGTCGGTCTGTCCGCCGACTTCCAAAAACGGAATCCGCATCCCGCTTTCCGTCCCTGATCCAAGGGCCCCATTCGTATACGGCTGATACCGCGCCGGTCAGCTCAACCAAAAATACATAAAGTGCACGAATTAGCAGTATAGAACCAATCTGTCCGTTCGCGATTGCATACCGGCATACTTGGGACGTGTTCATTCATATGTGCAACAAGTGTCCAGTGAAAAACACAACTGGACTTGCCGTCCTAACGCACTATCACTGCATAATCACCGTCACTTACAACAAACGTATGTTTTGATGCTTGCATAGTCCACAAACATACATATTTGTTAATGCTTGCATGTCCCACAAACCACAAGCATATTTTCTAAGCGCTTGCATGTTTCCGCGCACAACAAATATACGGTTTTGTACATCTGCTTAAATATTTATACACTTGCACACTACGCATCATCCATATACTGGTACATCTATATTCCGAATCTACCCAATAACCATAGTTCCCCACATGCTTACAAACAAATATACAAATTAAATCCATATTAAACATACATTCACAATCATACATATGTTCATATTTACAATTACACATATTTACTAACACAATTCCTGTAACACGACACGGTCGGTCCGCGACTCCCACCAACTTACCCGTATTCCGGTTAGCACTCCGCTCCAGTCGTGCCATATCCAGCGCCAGCGCCAGCGCGCGCTCACCGGCGAATATTCTATTGTTTTTTTTTGGCATAAAATTCTTATTTGCACAATTCGTCAACAAGTGATGCGCACTTGTTGGGAACCGGTTATCGGAATATCGAAACTTTGGAGTGTGACCGAATATTAGTCACGGTCACGAATTACAAATAATTTACATTAATTTCGATAATAAAGGGAAAACCGATTGCTACTGGCAGCAGTGATTTTGTCACAACAAAGATTTAATAAAATTAAAAATAAATTAAATATCGGTGGCATTTGTTTCCTTTGGAGTCACATTGCATATTTCAGCGCGTCCTGAGGAGTTATTGACAATTTAATAAGGATTTATTGTCGCCGTTGAACTGCCGCCGTCTAATTGTCGCCGTTGCTGCCATTATTATTATTGCTGTTACCTCGCAAGTGTTCAGCGTATCCAGCTGTATTATTGGAATTTACTAAGAGCCAAACCATACTTCCAGGTGCTTTTGTTACGAGCCAGTCGGTTCGTAAGCCACATTGGGACACACAGCGAAGTCGAACTACATATATAGATTCTGCCGCCTCCTCCTCTTTTCTTTGGTCGTGTCCTGTTCTATATTGCCAACAAGCAAGGCGCAGTCCTAAACGCCACTTGTTGCTTTCGGCGCGCATCCGTCCGTGTCCATCCGAAGCGCCTATAGCGCGCCCACTTCTACTTATTGCTTGTCAGGCCTGTGTGGAAGCTCAAAATGCCGAGCGACAATGAGAAGGACTCATTGGAAGTTCCCGTTGTAACGAGAACTAGTCCAGCTACACGTTCAGCTGTTCATATCGCGGCTCAGAAAATCCAAATGGCATTAGATAACTTTATTTCCGTTAGCGATAGCCTGTGCCAATTCGAGGCGCTTTTGGCCTCCTCATCCGCCTCAGATCCGCTTGTCATGCTCAAGACTCGTCTAGACCAAGTCAAGGTCCTTTGGGAAAGGGTTGAGCAAGAACAGCGGTCGTGTTCCAGGGCTCTAACCCAGTTAGAGGCCGGTGTTCCTGACAAGCAGGCGATGCAATCTAGATACGAAAATTGCTATCGCGTCTACGAGCGGTGTGTCTGTCTGGTATCCGGGCAGATTGAACAGGCATCCGCGTCACACAATCCCTCGGCGCCTGCTGTCGAAGCTCGGGGCTTCAATGTGCCACCGGTGGATACCGAGGTGTTCTCTGGCGATTATTTGAAATGGCCTACGTTCCGGGATCTCTTTACGGCCGTGTACATTCGCAATTCGCGTCTGTCCGAGGTCGAGAAAATGTTCCACCTTAACGCCAAAACTAGTGGAGAAGCGAAGGTTATCGTTTCGAGGTCGCCACTCACTAATAGCGGTTTCGCTACTGCATGGAAGGACCTGACTGACCGTTTTGAAAACAAACGGCTTCTCGTCAATAGTCAATTAAAGGTCCTTGCCAACATACAACCAATTTCGTCAGAGTGTGGCGCCTCCATTAAGGAACTTCAGAGCACCATTCAAGGTTGCTTAACAGCTGTGGAAAACGCGAAGATAAGTACCGAAAATTGGGATTGCGGCTTAGTCTTTTTCTGCGCCACCAGACTCCCACAGCAGACCCTTTCTTTATGGGAACAGTCTGTTAAAGACAAGACTGAGATTCCTCCCTGGTCCGATATGAACCAATTCCTGTCAGATCGCTATCGAACTCTCGAAGCGATAAGTGATGTGCGATCGAGCACCAGCGTCCGCGTGCCAAAGTCAGCTCAAAAGGAGCCGGCTGCGAGGAGAGTCAACTCGTTTGAGGCAAAGGTCAGAGTAAAGACGCAGACCTGCAACCTCTGTTCCAGAGAAAACCACCCAATTCGTCTGTGCCCGCGTTTCCTCGCAATGACGGTCAAGGAGCGTTCCGGTGTGATTAAGAAGCAAAAGCTGTGCCTGAACTGCTTCGCCAGAGGGCACCAGCTGAAAGACTGCACGAGTCAGTATTCGTGCTCCACGTGTAAGGGACGCCATCACACGTTATTGCACCGCGGTGCCCCGACTCCACTCGTGCCTCCCACATCAGCTCCTCAGTCGTCACTCCACGATATACAGTCCACTCCTCCTAATGTACAGACATACTTTTCCTCGCACACCCGAGGCGTGCTTTTAAGCACAGCCATGGTCAACATTCGTCACGCGGGCACAATTTACACAGCGCGTGCTCTGATTGATTCAGGTTCCGAGGGAACATTTATTTCAGAGCGCTTACGCAGCAGGCTCCAGCTGCCTTTCAAAAGAATTCGTGCCCAGGTTTCCGGGCTCAATAGAACGGTCTCAGGCCATACCACCAAAGTATGCGCCTTCAAGTTGGTCGCGCCCACTCAGCCGATGGTCGAGATAGATACATCGGCTTTTGTCTTACCACACTTGGCTGGGGATATCCCATCGTGCTCGTTCTCTCAAGAAGCACTGAGAAATCTGCCAGATTTGCCATTGGCGGACCCCACGTTCTACATCAGTTCGCCGGTAGACATGCTCATCGGGGCTGATATATTGCCGGCTATATTTTTGGCTGGATCCAAGTCCAATATATGTGGCTCCCTACACGCTCAGGAGACCGTGTTCGGCTGGATCCTGACTGGTCCGGTGGCAGCCGCTGAACAAACTTCCATCTCATCGTTTGCGACCCGTGTGACTGTGGACAATGAGCCAGCGATTGAGCAATTGCTCACCAAGTTTTGGGAGGTGGAGGATGTCCCAGCCAGCCGGTCCAAGGCAGAAGATCTGGTGTGCGAACAGCTGTTCCAGAGCACGACCAGGAGACAGGCGGATGGAAGATACGTAGTTTCGCTTCCTTTCAAGGATCCGCAAAACATCGAATTGGGCCATTCGAGGTCGATCGCGTTGGCGCAGCTCTTGAGGAACGAGGCGCGTTTACAGCGGAATGCGTCATTGAAGGCGCAATATGACGCGGTCATTAATGAGTACCTGGATTTGGGCCACATGCACCAAGTCCCTCCGCCCACGAGCCGCTGCAATTATTATCTCCCTCACCACGCAGTCATCAAGCCAGACAGCAGCACGACCAAGCTCCGCGTGGTGTTTAATGCTTCCAGTCCCTCATCTAATGGGAAAAGTTTTAAACGATGTCCTACATCCTGGACCGGTCCTTCAGTCTGACCTGATCCTGCAGGTACTGAAGTGGCGGTTCTTTCGTTATGTGTTCAGTAGCGACATCACCAAAATGTATCGGCAAATACGAGTCGATCCTGAACACACTCCGTTTCAGAGAATCCTGTTTCGCAATCCAGACGGGGTTTTGTGCGATTACGAATTAGGCACAGTCACCTTTGGGGTAAACTGTGCGCCTTTCCTGGCCATCCGAGTCCTTCAGCAGCTCGCAGAAGACTCACAAGCGCAGTATCCATTAGCCAGCCAAATCGTGAAGGAGTTCATGTACGTGGACGATGTCCTGGCTGGAGCGCATTCAAGGCAGGACACGCTGGCGTCGATTGGGGAACTCCAAAAGGCTTTCGAAGCTGCCGGTTTTCCGCTACGGAAATGGACGGCGAACGAGAAGGGGCTCTTGCGGAGTCTCCCGGCAGAGCATCTGTTGCGGGCCGACTTTTTGGACCTGGAAGAAGCCAGCTTGACGAAAACACTGGGCATTCGCTGGAAGGCCACCACCGACGATTTCCTATTCGTTGTGAATGGCATGGAGAAGGAGGTCCTTTTTACGAAGCGCAAGGTCCTGTCGCAAATCTCAAAACTGTTCGATCCGGCAGGCTGGCTGGCCCCGTTCATCTTACAGTCAAAAATATTCATGCAGGAGGTTTGGTTAAGCGGAATAGGATGGGACGATCCGCTCCCCGCAGAACTCCTGCAACGGTGGTACGAGTTTCTACAGAGCTACCCAGAGCTTGACCAGATCCGGATTCCGAGATGGGTAGATTTCCGCCCTGAATGCCTCTTCCAGTACCATGGTTTCTGCGACGCGTCACAGCGGGCGTACGGAGCCGCACTCTACGTCCGAGTAGAGTTTCGCCAGGAAATCCGAGTCCACCTCCTTACAGCCAAAACGAGAGTGGCTCCAACCAAAACAGTGTCGCTGCCACGTCTAGAATTATGTGGCGCAGTCCTACTAGCTGATATGTGCGCTTCAATCCTGCCACACCTTCCGCTCAGTAGCCTTCCGATTCAGTGTTGGACTGATTCCACCATTGTGCTAGCCTGGTTGCGCAAGCCCGCGTGCAACTGGACCACCTTTGTGGCCAATCGAGTGGCTAAAATTGTCCAAGCCACAAACAAAGATGATTGGCTCCACGTTCGCTCTGAGCATAACCCCGCCGACCTCGCGAGCCGAGGAGTCTCTCCGCAGGACTTAAGAGACAGCGACTTGTGGTGGCATGGGCCGGCCTGGCTCGTGACCCCGAAAGAGAATTGGCCTGCTCAAGAGCAGACCCCACAGGAGACGGACATGGAACAACGCCGCGTCCAAACGCATGTCGCCACACTGGCTTCAGCTCCAGACTTCCTTGAGCGGTTCTCCGACTTTGGGAGAGCGCTCAGGGTCATGGCGTATATCCAGCGTTTTGTGCAGCGCTGCCAGAAGGCTCCCACTCCGTCGACCAAGGAGCTGACACACCAGGAGCTGGTCCGGACCCAGCGGATCTTGACGATTTGCGCCCAAAAGAAGGAGTATCCCCATGAATACGGCGCCTTGTCGAATCAGAAGAGGATATCCTCCAGCAGCTCCCTCCAAAACTTGAATCCGTTTATGGATGATCTAGGTGTCATCCGGGCATGCGGACGATTGTCTTCCTCCGACTCGCTCACCTACGACGAGCGACATCCAATCGTCCTGCCTTACAGCTGTGCCTATTCTCGGCTCCTAGTCCGTTTCGTCCATCGGCTATCCCTTCACAGCGGGAACCAGCTGACCGTCAGCCTCGTCCGAGCGAAGTTTTGGATCCCCAAACTGCGGAATTTGGTCAAAGCCACCATCAACTCATGCAAGGTCTGCGTCGTGTTTAAAAAGCGGCTGCAGACTCAGCTGATGGGCAGCCTTCCGGCTACACGTAGTACCTTTTCTCCTCCATTCACTCATACAGGCGTT